TGAAGATCTTACATACATACCAAAATAGTTTTTCCTGAGGTATATTTAATGCCTAACACTCTATACTTATGGTAGAGAGGTTCTTATAGTTTTAAAATAATTGATGTTTAAGAATTTTGAGAGTTCATATCCCAAACTAGGACCCTGCAGAATGTTACCCCAGGAATGTTACTAAGCCTTTTTTGGAAGGAAGTAGGCAGACTGCATGAGGGTGCTATGCTGAAGTGCATTTTAAAAGTGATTAAACAAAGTCAAATAAATTATTTACTATGGGGATTCTCAGAGCCCTTAATTTGTAAATCCCCAAATTTGAGGGGCTGTAGCACATGGAAGTGTGGGAGCTGTTAAGTGTAGGGTACTTGTTAAGATCTCTTTTTTCTACTTCTACAGAAAGAAGTCTTTGAATAGTATCATAAAAAACAAATTCTGGACTCGTTACCATCTAACTTAAATAAACATCTTGACTTTCTTCCCTCTACTTATCCAAATCTCAGAGCTGGATGTATTTTGTTCCTACCTATATATTGAGCTCATTCTCCAACTAACACTTTTTCCAGTTAAGGATCATTTAAGAAGGAGCATCTGCAGTAAGAACTTTAGAGTGCAGTTCTGGTCACTAACCCTGCATGTTATATCCCTGTTTGACTCCCTGTCTTAGTTTCCAGTATAATCCTTATTTAGTTGCAACTTGGGTTTGGCTTTATTTGTGGCTACCTCTCCTGGAGTCTGAATCCCTGATTCTGAGAAAGTTTTAACTTATAGACCCCTTGTTCAAATGCTAATTTCAGTATCTCTTAAAAACTAGTTTCCTTTCAAGAAAGAGAACCTACAGGAATGAGAAACAAAACAGCTAGAAGAAGGTAAAACAGAATTTCCAACTGGGTTAAAATGGGCTGAAAATTGAAGATGTAACAGGCAATAAAGTATTAATTAAATTATTTAATTTGAGCATTTTGTCAGTTGGTCAATTTTATTAACTGGTTTCTAATTTCACTGGGACTGGGACATTGACTCGATTTAACCATGTAAGTAAATAATGAATGAATGAATTAATCAATTTATTAAAATAATCCAACTAGTCTACCTGACCACAACTGACCTCATGTAATATCAACAGAATGCTATTCATGGACTTTTAATGTACTCGTTTTTTTAGAATGTTGGAAGAATTAAGAGCTCTTAAATTTTAAAAAATATTTAAATGCAAAATTCTTCCCTGATTATTATGCTGTATGATAAAGCATGACCTCATTAAAAATTTAAGCTGGGCGCCTAACAGAGCCTGGATGTAGTGCTATTTCATTTAGATACATATTGTGCTCTTGTATATTTATAGAGAGTGATTTTACAATGTTCTTACTTACACTCAGGATTTTACTACATAAATATAATTTCATTATTTCTGTAGTCTTTGTGAGCTGGTTCATTTTGTTTAACATATGGAATTAAAAAGTCATACCAAACAATTCTACAAATCACAATTTCAAGTGATAGTGAACAGCGAGGAATGTGCAGCATCTGGCTCTATAGTAACTCCTCATGCTGATGCCAGCTGACAGAGCAGGCTGGGTGTTCTCCAAGTACAATCATGTTGTGAGAATTAGTCACACCAGAAATTTTTAATGAGTATTTATCAATGTGTGCCAGATTTAAGAATTTCAGAGTCTTACTAGAAGTGGGAAATTATTGAAGAGCAAAACTATTCCTAAGAATTGCATTTACATTTACCAGAGGAAAGGTGAAATGGAAGCACAGTTCTGCACCTCAGGGCTGCTCACACACACAATTTAAGCCATTACCCCTGTGAGCACGCAACATAAGTTTCAGTATGTTTTCAATTTTCTAGCTTCCTGTGTTTCAAGAGAATGAAAGTATTTATTATTGGGAATCCAAAATTGTACAACATTAACTGGTTAAAGAGGAGAGAAAGAAACTAAGAGAGAGCAGAGTTAAAAAGGAAAGAATGAAGGTAAGTACAATAACTTCAGATAACTTTAAATGTTGACATCTAAGAGGAGGCAACAATGACCAAAATATCCGAGCTTTCTAGTCAATCTGATATCTTTAAAACTCTTAAGAAGAGTTAAGAAAAATAGCATCAAAAGGTAGGAAAAAGAGGAGAAAAGTCCTCCACCCCATGAGAAAAACGAAAATGCTATCATGTGAACAAAGCAAGACTGAGCTTTTAACCAAGGCCACACTGCCACCGTGTTCTGGCCTCTGAGCAGCCCTCAGCCTCACTGCTCTTCCCCCTTCCTTGCTCCCTCCACTCCCCACACTCTCGGCTCACCTGGGGGTCTGCTGGGCTGCTTCCTCGCTGGAATACCTGCTCTCTAAGGGGGCTGGACTCCTCCTCATACTTCAGATTAGAGCTCAAATGACGACTCCTGGGCCAAACCCCCTCCACGTTTCCCCTACATTTTGAAATCCTTAGAAAGTTTTCAGATATATATCTATGTAGTAATATAATCAATGCTTGCCTTCTTTCATAGAGACTAAACTTTGAGATTGGGAATGAGCTAGTTTGCGAAGCAATGTTCCCCACGAGCTCCGAATGCAAGCATTCTGTTAGATGAGTGAAGAAGGAAGGAAAGAAGGGGGGGAGGGGGGAAGACAGGCCATAGTCAGACTCTTTTTGTTCTCAACGAACAGCAGTATCTGCTGTGCCTTTCCTTAGCCACTGTAAAATCACATGGTAGTCACACAATGAATGCAAACTCTATTGAGAGGCAGAGGATACAGAAGAAATAACACTGTGAGAGTCTCACAAAAATGTTTCACATCCAGTATGTGCTTAGAATTGAAAACAAGTAATGAAGCCAGGCTTTCCGGATAAGTTACGTGGGATTAATAAGCCATGGCAATATGACATGTAAACACAAACCTTTCCATGCAAGAGAAGTATAAAGAAATCGCGCAATACATTCACTCTCAGTTCATCTTTCCGAGTTAAACACACTAAGAAGAGGAGGGAAATGAAGATGGTAAGAATATCTTAGTTCACATACAAAATTCTTTACATATTCAGAACTTTGAAAACTCTTAAGAATCCCCATTGAAGGGTTACTTCTATTGGATGTCCTTAGAACACACACTTAAGATATCCATCCAAATACTTCATTTACTTTGACCTTGGTACAGGTGTGTAAGGAGGCAATGCCTTCTTTAGTGCAGTAAGCTGAAAGCACACACCATGCAGTCAAACAGCGTCATGAACAGTTGTGACTGGCCAATGCTGAACAGTTTAATCTGGTAAGATAACAGTAATAACACAACAGCAATAACTAACCTGGTTTTATGGCTAAATTTGGTGAGTTGAAATAACTCATCCATGTAAAGACAGTATCTATTCTCTTTTACGAACACTGGAGAATATGTCATTGACTTAATCCACTGAAAATTTATTTAAAATCACTCAGTAGCTGTCTGACTTTGGACAGTTACTAAACCTCTAAGTAACTTTCTACAATACAGTTTTTGAAATTATTTAACATAATTGGGTCAACATTTCCACAGTAAATAGTTTCCACTTAAGATGATATCATTATTTTTTAGAGTAAACTTAGGGACTTTGAAAATTACATTTGTCTTGGGTTACAAAATAATTTTAAGACATTGGGAGTGACACATTTTTTAAAGAACTTCCAAGTACACTGGACTATTTCATTATAAAAACTATGACCATTACAAATGCACTATTTAGCTTTCTATTTTTGTTAATATTTTATTTTTTCTATATGAATAAAGAATAACTGTTTTCATGTAAGGATGGAATTATACTTTTTATCTTGAGAAATTATCTCCATTAGAGTTTTTATATTGACAAATTAATGTGCTAAATTTTCGGGTATGAATGAGGTATCTTTAATTTTATGTTTCCCATATTAACCTATAGGAAGGAACAGTTTGCCTACTCTAATGTTTTCAAATTAGAAATATTTTTGTTTCACTATTTAAGAGATAATACAGTTCTTTGAACTCTATAAAGTTAGGGTGTTATGAGCTAATGAATAAATTTACATACTAAACACAACCAGTAAGAGTAGGGCACACTGGGTTTTCACATATATCTCCTGAAGACATAAGCGACTCACCACAGTATATAAATGGCATTTTCAAGTCCTGGTAGATCAGGCCAATTGTGGAGAAAATAAAAACCCAATGATAAACAAACAAAACAATTTCACTATTAACTGTGAAATTCTTGTTGTTATGCAAGAAATTGAAAGACAGCCTGACAGGAGGGAGTTTTCCACACTTTGAAAACCACTGGTATATAATAATTTGTCATATGACTATTTGTCAAGTTAATGAAAAGTCTGAAGAAAAAGAAATAGATTCTCAGGCATATATAACAGATATCCAAACATACAAATGATCTACACCTTTGTTTTTGATTCAACTGATAATATTCCTTATAAATGCTGATTGTTTTGCTGCAATGAAATGTTTATTAATCCAACTTCTCAATTCATTACAACTAAATTGGGATGCAGATCAAAGGGAGGGTAGTCAGAACTAAAGAGTGAACTATAAAAATAAAGTATACAAGTCTAAAATATAAAAGAAAGAAATAGGTGACTAGGAAGAGACATTTCACACATGAAAAATTTCAAGCATAGCCAAATCAAGAGGTTAATTTGAATGCTATCTGAGTCTCTTTAAAGCAGTAAATTAGATGAAAACACTTTGTTGAACACAAGCTGGATTCTAATGTTTTTAGTACCTTTTATGCCATGTATAATTAATCTATAAAAACCACAAGAAAAAAAAATTTGCTTACATTTTTGGCATTTCTGTTTTAAATATTAATAGGAATTACCTGAATACCAAGGAAAATATATGGATTTAACATTTTGCAATTTCCAAAATCATAATTTTTGTTCTTTAAAAAAAAGCCTTAAATTCAGAAATAAAAATATAATTTTTAAGATTATTTATTAGAGTTTTTAAACATTTAAACATCATCTCACTATTTTGCAAAGGATAAGATGACTTACTTTTCCTTTTCTTGAAGCTGATGTTCCTGAGAAACCATTTTAGGCTCTGTCCCGAGATTTTTTTGCATCCGCTGCCTCCTCTTTCTACTTGGTGCAATATCAGTGACATCAGGACTCGAAATAATGGAATCATCTCTTCTTAAAGTAGCTAAAATAAAATGACATTAAAATGTGATCCAACAAGACTATATATATAATTTGTGAATAAAGTCTCAACTTGCTGCTTTAGTGCTGATATAAACTGACACAATTAATACACAGCAAAACAATTTTTAACAAGTCATGCAGATTTGAAGTGAGTCAGCTAGAGAGTGTGAAATACTTTCATACCAAAATAAAACATAAAGTATGTTGTATACATGGAATAACTTGAGCAAAATGGTCTTTGCCTATCTTGGGTAACAATCTTCTCAAATGCATTCTAGGCAGTTTGATCTCTCAGTGCTGGAACTAGATAGAAATGCCTCAGAGGCACCTCTAAAAGGTATCTGGATGGAAAAATAATGCTACAGGAATAATATAAATCGCACTGGTACTAAACAGCAATTGTGAGCAGAAATGGCAATTTCTGATAGCGACCCAGAGATAGTTACCCAGACTTTTCCACTAACTGTGAGGAGAGAGCCCAAGAGAAATGAAAGAAAATACTAACAGATGTCTCTAATGTAGCTAAACCATGAAATTGCCTCTAAAAGTGTTTGATACACATGAAACAGAAGCAACAATAGAAACATGCCTGATTTATGTTCCTTTATTCTCTTAGAAACAACTTAGTTACAAAGAGCTCTAGGGGAGTTTAGAATTCTTTCATCCAATACACAGTATATTCTGCTATAATGCATATTTCTATTAAAAAAAGGAGCTCCTTTGCTATTGGTAAATAATAAATACTATCAATATAATTTGGACTTTGGATGTGTTGCTAGTTCATATGATTTTTTTCTCTAGCATGTTAATGGTTTAAAGTGCTCAGGGGTAAGCTTTCATCCCAATTAAAGGGAAAGACTTAGCAATGTATAAAGGCCTAAAAAACTGAAGATGAGTGGCTAAAAAAAAAAAGTCTGGTACAGGTCCACTGCTTTAGCACAAATAGGAGCTGGTCTAGCAAACCCAAGAACCCCACACTATTCAAAAATTAAGCTCTCCACTAAAGCTGCAATAGAGATGAACAAGCTATGGAGACATTTCTCCCTGTATCTTGAATCAGATATTTAATTTTGATGAAACTACTGAAATCAAGTGCATTCAATAACTCCCATCTCCACGTAAGAGGAAGTGTGATGCAAATGGTTAGCTGACTATGCTGCTGGGCACAAATGTTGCAATTAATGAGAGTTAATTAATAGAGTTAATGTTTTTATTAGGATTTTAACTAGAGAACTAATAGCAACCTACGCTGAATAGATTTTGTGTGGTCTGACCAAATCTTAACCTTTCGACATGAGCTCTATTATTTGTAGTGCACGGTTGTGCAGAAGGAGAGGCTTTTCAGGCACACATTTATCACCTTCTAGAAGAAAACTGTATTTTGAATTTTCATTCGGCAGTCATGCTTCTCTGAGTGACTGTGATCACTTGGACACTGGTGACCAATCTCAGGAAACTTCTTCTTTTGATTTTTTTTTCTTAAAATAGGTATCATTTTTGAAAACATGTCTGCTGGACACTTTGCTGTGGGTTTTATTTATATTATCTTATTAACCTTTCACTTTGTGTAGTACTTACTATTACTACCTTTACTTATTGGAAAACCAGGGTATTAAGTAACTTGCCCAAATCATTCAGCCTGTGTTTTTATATTTTACACAGGACAATTTAAAAATGTTTCTCCCTAGTGGGTAAATTAGCATTTGATCAAATATTAATTGAATGCCCATCAAAGCATATTTTACTTTCCAAAGTTCTTTAAGTTATTAGGACATATAAGTTCCATTGTATTTCTTGTAAATTATTTTTATTAGCCCCTAAAAGTATTTTTGGAGTAGAGAAGGATAAATTTAAAACACATTCAAGCTGAATGATTGCCCTATTTTAATTAAGGCAGGAGGTGACTAAGGAAGAAATTCTGGTTTACTGATTTCTTACCCAGTCTGCTCTTATCTAGGATTCATTTACTCAGTCACATAAGCAATCAACAAAGTACAGGCTGTCTATGAACAAAACTAGCAAAACTGTCTTAGTTAGAGGACATTTCGACTATAGTTAGACTTGAAAAATGGAGAAAGATTGCATTTAATGACATATTGGACATCAAGGAAGAAAGAATATTAAGTTTAAATTAAAATATATGATAAATTTTTTAAAAATGAAGTCACCAAAAACTTCTGCCACTCATTTCAAAACTCTAAATAATGGCTTACACATTGGCATCCAAAAGGATGTTTTAAATGTGATATGGTTATATTACTTGTTATAACATCTACAATTTACTTTAAAATACAATGTGTTTCGATGTGTATGTTAGTCAGGGTGAGCCATAATCCACGTGTTGCCAGCATCTAATCAAGAACACACACCAGAAGCAGTTTGCTCAGTTCTAATACTAATTTCCATACTCTTATAGAGGCTACCAGAGGCACTTCTGCAATCAGAATTTCAATCAATAACTGATGATTTATTAATTGGTATACTGACTGACAAAAATGTGTGTATCTCTTGTGAACATGGCAGGAAAACAGGCATGATGAATATTGCTTACGGGCTCTCGTGAGTGAAATGAAAGGTATTCTAGATTTATAGCTCGGCTAAAATATTTTAGATCTCCAGCATTTTATCAACAGGGCATAAGAACCCACTGAGGTCTGTTTACTCTTAGAGATGATGCCCTGTGCTAAATGTCGAAGTGGTTCTGTGTCCAGCTGTGGACTCTGGACAATTGTGGTTGCCTGATACCATGGAAAACCATCATTCCTGCCTCAGGAAGCTTTATAATGCCAAAAATAAGCATTTTACAGGGGGGAGTGACTGGGACACCTAAAAGGGCAGACAACTGGAATTTCTTTAAGCTTTCAGGGCAGGTTTGTGAATTATTTTGTGCTGACTTGCTAGCAATATTGAGTTGGTAACTGCCTGTACGTGTGGGAAAATAACCTGATACTTTATTATCATTATCCCACACTTCAAACTTCTCGGTGCCCACCATTATTTACCCAAAGAACCAAGAGTTGTGTGTAACCAAGTGTTTCAAGTCCATTTACAGTGCCACTTTTTTCCATTCTCCTGAGGCTCTCAAGTCTCGGAGCCACTGTCATGAGGAAAAGGGGCCTGCACACAAGCCAATTACTGCTGAAAATAAATATGTCTTTTTTGTGCTTGCACCATGGGAAACTCTTTTCCCTTCGGTTTATTACATGCATGTAACAGCAAGCTGTAGAATATTCTCTGAATTTATACATTCATTTAAAAGGAAGTTTTCATGACATTTAGATAATCTTAAATAAAAGGGAAAATGTTCCATTCTATCCCTTCCTCTCCACTCCTGCGATGCCAGAAACCAAGAAAGAGGCGCCTGGTTCCTGTGTATCAATGCTTGATGCTGTGTGTCTCTTCTGGCATTGGATCCCTCCCTCCAACAGCGACTCTGAGTCTCCAAACAAGCAAAGCTGTTTTATATACAACAGAAGGGATGTGATCTACATCGATAGGAAGTCAAATATGGGACTTTCAAGATGTCTATATTATTTCACAACCTTACATTTTTTTAAAAACTCCTTACCCAAGGACATATTTTTATTGACTTTAGAGAGAGGAAGGGAAAGAGAGAGAAAGAAATATCGATGTGAGCGAGAAACATGGATTGGTTCCCTCCCATACATACCCTGACTGGGGATCGAACCAGCAACCTAGGTATGTGCCCTGACTGGAAATAGAACCCAAAACCTTTTGGTGCACGGGACGACACTCTAACCAACTGAGCCACCCAGCCAGGGCATATAACCTTGCATATTTTTAAGGGCAACAATGAAAGCTTTCACTTTCAAGTCTTGCATCCCATTTTCAAAGAAAAAAATGAGTCCATATTAAGTTTACTAGGTTATACACACTCATTTGAGATAGGAAGAAAAGCCTGAATAGAGTGGGAAAAGAATGGGAAATGTTCAAAGGGTAATGAGGGGTCTGGCCTGGTTAGAGTGGTGTACATGGGAAAGGAATACTCGGGAAATGAATGGAGAAGTGCGGGCAACAGGAAAGGAGGAGAGGAAGGGGAGACAGAAAGGTGCTACATAAACTGAAGTTTTCAAATCCAGGCAGAAGTGTATGCATTTGACACTGACTGGGGAGTTTTTTCTGAGATTCCTCCTCCAGAATTCTCAGTTTTTAGTATTCATCAGTCTCTGTCATGACCATGTGTCTTGCACCATTTCCAGGAATTTTTGAAAAAAGAAAACAAAAGAAGAGAAAGCAACGATTGCCAATTAACTTACTAGAGCTGAAATTCTTATTGGCAGAGCTGTGGGATGGATTTCAAGGTCTCATTAGGTTCACTGAATCCAGAGAATGAGGATCTTCACAGAAGCCTTGCTCTTGTGAAAGGTGGCTCCACAGAAAGCCACACTTGTCCCATGTGACAGAGGAACTGCAGGAGCTTGGCAGGGAGTTCAGGCAGGGCGGGCAGAGCTGGCTCCCTGGGGACTCGCAGTGTCCAAAGGAAATGACTGTGGGCTGAACTGCTGGCCATCTGCCTAAATGCCAGGAGTTAAGCTAGCTGGTAAACTTGTCTCTAACCATGAAACCCTCAAATCTCAGTATGTTTAAAAACATTTTGCAGGCTTATAATTTGTTTTATCAGGGCCTCATTATTATCTCCTGTCTATGGATTTTTCCCCCTCTTCATATGCTATATAGCTTGACACACAGATTCTACAAAACTCTGAGAGAGATTGCCACACTTCACTCCAGCCCCACCTCAAACAAACACACCTCTCTCCAGGCCCTGCACAAAACAAAAAATGAATGTCGTCAGGCATGTTATTCATGGTGATGGCTACTCAGCTCTTAGGTTAAAATACTGAATAAAAGAGGCTCTGATCTTTAGGTCCCTTGGCCATGAAGAAAGAAATGTGTGCCGCTTGCAACAGGCCACATCCAAACAGAAAACTTGCAGTGGTTCCCATGGCCTGCAAAATAAAGTCCTAAGATCCCAGCCCT